GTACTCTTATTTGATAGAGTCATTTTCCATTGGAGTGTGAGTTAACAATCTGAAGTATTGTACGTATATACTAGTATTAAACATGCAAATAAGTGGAAGGCAGATAGTACGAACTAGATTTTTTCACTGTCATTGGAGTGGGGGATTGCAGGCAAACAAGGGGAGAAGGTTAGAATTATCCATATGATACTGAGTGAGAATCAGAAAGAGTAAACTAATGTTTAGCTTAGTATATATACAGATTATATGTGTGTGTGTTGCGGGGGGAGGAGGTTTACTATAGACACAAATATTTCTTAAGCTCTGTCTGTTAAGAAAGCCTAGAAGAAATGACACCCCTGTAGCAACAAGCATACCCAGATCTTGGTTTCTGATACTGTTCTACAATAAAAGGAACCAGGGGTCTTTAGAGAAATTACTGCTTCTAGACTGGAACGGAGAATATATAAGGTAAATCAGAAAGTAAACAAGTGTTAGAAACTCCACAATACTTTGGCCACCTGATGCGAAGAGCTGACTCATTGGAAAAGACCCTGATGCTGTGAAAGATTGAGGGCAGGAGGAGAAGGGGATGAGAGAGGATGAGATGCCTGGATGGCATCACTGACTTGATGGACATGAGTTTGGGTAAACTCCGGGAGTTGGTAATGGACAGGGAGGCCTGGCATGCTGCGATTCATGGGGTTGCAAAGAGTCGAACATGACTGAGCAACTGAACTGAAACAAGTGTTAAAGAGAAAAAACTACATTAAACAAACAAAAAATCTGAGGTATGTGAAAAGGACATAGCAGCCAACAGCTTGCAATTGTAATAGGAGGAATAATTTCAAGAACAAAATATGTTATGTCATAGTGGATTACAACCCAAAATATAAAGTAAATATCCATGAGTCCAAGGTGATTCAAGTGAATGACTGATTAAATTAATGAGTGAGAGCAGACAAATGTATACAAAAGAATTCCAAATGATTTATGTAGATGTTTCTCCTTCAAGAAGACAGAGGTTAACTCTCTGTCTCATTTAAATGTGGGCTTTGCATATCAACTTCTAAGAAGTACAGGATATAGAAGCGGGGAGGGAAAGAGTAACTTTAAAGCAGAGAAACCTGACAAAGTCTACCTCAGGTCAAGGTGAACATCATCAGTAGTAAGTCGTGTTGATAGCATGTACCCTTGATATGATATGAAGAGAATAACTTTACCTCTGTAGTCTTCCTCCTAGAAATCCATAACCTGTCTAATATCAGACAAACCCTACTGATGGACATTCTACAGAATACATGACCTGTATTCCTCAAAACTCAAGGTCATCAAAACAAGGGAAGTTTGAGAAATTGTCACAGTCTAGGGAAACTTAAGGAGACACAATCGATAGACATAATATATCCTACATGTATATACATGTACATAATATATCCTACAATATATCCTGAAAAAGGAAAAGGATGGACATTGGTTAAAAATTAAGGCAATTGGGATAGAGTATTCACTTTTCTAATAATGAAGCATCAGTTTTGGTTTATTAGTTGTGATAAAGGTACCAAAGTAATGTTAACAATAGGAAACACTGGGTACAGGGTATATAGTAACTCTTGATAATATTCTTGTGGATTTCTGTTATATATAAAACTGTTCTAAAATTAATATTTATTAAATGTTAGAAAAGTGTCTAGGGGTGAGTCACAGCAGTCTTTACTTTAATCAGCTCTCCAGATGATTCTGTAGCATGCTAAGGTTTGAGAACCATTGCTTTTACTGTATAACCAAAAGGAGGCTTATGGTTACAAAAGTGTTTGGTTTTAATGGCAAGGTAGGAGCCAAAACATCATCTTACCAATAGATTGTGGATGGTCTCAGAGAACAGTTGAATTGCTATCTTTTACATGAACTCATAAAGTGTCTTGATACATATGTAATTTGTGAGGAAGGATGAGAATAAGATGCTTATGTGACTGAATTGCACTGCAATTGTATCACACCAATTCTAGCTTATGCAGAGGCCAAGGAAGGCTTCATAGATGATTAGCTACTGGGGTCTTTGAAGTTAACCAAGTAATGACATCTCTTTCCCCTATACAGTTCTGAATTGATTGAAAAATGTAATAACTGTAGATATGGTATATTGGAGCCAGAATATCACATTATGAATAAAGGCCTGCTGTTAAACTCTCAAATTTGACAGACTTACCCACCCATTCAATAAAACATCAGACCATCTCAGGCCTACTGCAACCCTCTCAGTGGGAATCATGAGTAAAGGTACAGAAGAGCCAAGATTGTCATTCTAGAGCTGCTTCCTTCTGTAAGAATCATCAGGAGTGGAACTATGTTCCCTCCATCACCAGCAGTAAATAAGAACAGGCAAGGCAGATTGATATATTGTGATGTGTTTCTAGGTGGAGAGTGATATGTAGTTAAATCTGGTTTAAAGTCCATTTAGGGTTAGGGTATCTGGTCCATGAATAGACAGGTTCTGTAGGTATATAGTGGGAGAAGGCAGTGGCACCCCACTCCAGTACTCTTGCCTGGGAAATCCCATGGATGGAGGAGCCTGGTAGGCTACAGTCCATTGGGTCGCTAAGAGTTGGACACGACTGAGTGACTTCACTTTCACTTTTCACTTTTCATGCACTGGAGAAGGAAATGGCAACCCACTCCAGTATTCTTGCCTGGAGAATCCCAGGGACGGGAGCCTGGTGGGTTGCCATCTATGGGGTTGCACAGAGTTGGACACGACTGACGTGACTTAGCAGCATAGGTATATAGTGGAGTTTGAGGCAGTTTCTCAATATATAACATATTCAACCAACATTCATGCAAAGGTTGCCAGAGAGATCCAGACAAAAATTCTTTGTGCCATCCTAGGGTTTTGTCTATGAATGGTAGATCCTCTGCCACTAATTAAAGGAAAACTACTACTTTACTCAATCCTGGTAGGTAACTAATAGGTACTCTATTGGTTCTATCTACTGTAAGATCATTCATTTTTATAATTAGCATATCTGTGTCATAATGGTACTTTGAGGTTGATGTTCAGTTGCCAAGTCATGTCCAACTCTTTGTGACCCTGTGGACTGTTTGTAACACTCCAGGTTCCTTTGTCCTCCATTATCTCCCGGAGTTTGCTCAAATTCATGTCCATTAAGTTGGTGATGTTATGTAACCAACTTATCCTCTGTCACTCCCTTCTATTGCCTTCAATCTTTCCCAGCATCAGGGTCTTTTCCAACGAGTCTCCTCTTCACAACAGATGGCCATAGTATTGAAACTTCAGCTTTACCTTCTGTCCTTCCAATGAATATTTAGGGTTAATTTCCTTTGGGATAGACTGGTTTAAATATCTTTTCAGTCCAGGGTACTCTCAAGAGTCTTCTCCAGCACCACAATTTGAAAGCATCAATTCTTCACTGCCCAGCCTTCTTTATGGTCCAACTCTCACATCCCATACATGACTACTGGAAAAACCATAGCTTTGACTATATGGACCTTTGTTTTCAAAGTGATGTCTCTGCTTTTTAATATGCTGTCTAGTTTTGTCATAGCTACTTTGAGGTATATGTAACTAAATCATAGATGAAGACCTGGTGGTCTTAAAGAAAGGAAGTTTAGAGAAGAGCTCAAAACTGCCTGTGTGACTTTAAACTTCTCATTTAGCCTGTCTGTTTCTCATTTTCTTCATTGATCAAGCTAACAGTTTGGACTAGATATATCTCCAATTGTGTCCATGTGGATAGTTTATTTACTTTTTCACTTACCCTATATCTGCTATGTAGGTGGATTTACTTATATAAATCATTTCTCCCTCATTTTAAATTTATTGCATGAATAATAAAAATTAAAAAACATTTTTAAAAAGAACTATCCAATACTATAAAGGATTGGTAATTTAAAATTTTGTTTCCTCAGCTTCTCCATGTGCACTAGTATTTTAATTGTTAAAATCATACCATGGATTTTGTCATGGACTATTTAGTTACTTAACATTTTATCACAAACATTTTCATAATTTTAATATCATATTTAATTACTACTTAATATTCATAGCTGAGTATACTCTAATTTATTTATCAGTTCCAAATGTTGGTGATTGATCTGTGGAATTAGTAGCTTGTATTTTTTTTTTAGGCTATGAAAAAGGTGTTTTTCTCATACTCTGGGACTTCTTAAGGAAACTAAGACTTAATCTCTGGAAAGTTTATACCCTTTGTCTATTCAAGCTTTATCCATGTCAGAATCTCATGGAGCCCTGCTTCTCACCCTGATTTTTAACAGAAAACTTTGAATTCTGACCTATATACCCTTGTCATGGCTCCTTTATTACCCATACAACCAAGTCCAAACTCCCAGCCCTGAAGCTCTGTCCTCAGTGAAATTTTTTAAGAACCTTCGACTTCTGAGTAGACTACAGACTTGAGATTAACTCTTTTCAATGTATTTTTTGCATGGATATTAAGTCTGTTTTTCTTCTGTATTTAACCACAACTTTCATTGGAGAATCTTTTGAGCTCTTGGTGAAGATGATTAGAGGTGGGCTATCATCTAAATCAAAAGTCAACAGATAAGAAGGACAAGAAGATATAGACAAGATATTAGATCTAGACAAGAAATTAACTTCAGGACTCGGAGAAGGGTTGCATGTTATTTGGGAAATACACTTGTCCATATTCCTTATGAGTTGTATCAACAGTCATTCACCTCAATCTCCCTGTTAATATTATGGGATAGATGTGATGGGATGCCCTTTACACTTGATATTGATGTAATGGGGTGACTCTACACTTGATATTGGGGTAAGCTTGAAATATCAGCAACAGAGATGGTTTATGAGCCATAGGATCCAATTTGGCTTCAGCAGGTTTAAATAGACTACATCTCACAACATGCCGTATTCTCTGAGCATATAAAGCCACCTGCAATGTATGACTCATCATGACATTTTGATGAAATGAAGATTAAAATTAGCAGTTAGCAGATTATTTTCATTAAGTTATATATTTTAGATTTACAAGTTATGAGGGCAACAACTGGAAAAATTATAACAAAAGAAGACCTGGAGAAGACTATAGAGATAATTCTCACAGAGACAGAAACAATGAACTTTTTAAATCTACCAACAGTTATGTTTTCTGTAGAATCTGAAGAAGCTGAGAAAGTAAGGTATGTGTGGTTTAATTGTTTACATTGCTTTTGTAATTTAAATGCTAAATCAGAGGGCTCTATTCTTGTTTCTGTCTTTGAGGATTTCTGGATAAACACAGCTTGTATTTTGTGCCTTGTGAAATTGCATCCTATAAAGTGAGATTTGTACCCCCATGAAATTACATGTAAAGTATATATGTTGTATGTTCTTCCTAGAGGAGTAACTCATAGCTTTACCATATTCTTTAAAAAATAGGTGAGCTACTAAGTCAAATAACAAAAGAAATAAAGGAAGTTTCTAAGTCTCAGTATAGGTTTTAATGATTTTTTTCTTTTATACATATATGAATTATTTTCAGTTTAAAAAGAAATTACTGCCAGTTTTATATTCAAAACAACTTAAACTTAAGAAGGGAAAATGTGTTATGGGGATTTGATGGAATTTACTATTGAGAGCAGATTTTCCATTTCTCTTTATTAATGAATATAAATGGGTTATTAGTTTCTGTCTCATGTATATTGAAGTTCTGCTGTTAGGCACATATACATAAAGGATTGATACATCTTTTTGTAAACTTGACCCCTTTATCATTATATAATGCCCCTCTTTATCTCAAATAATTTTCCTTGCTCTGAAGTGTGCTTTGTCTAAATTAATATAGCTACATAAATAGATTATTGAGTATTTATATGGTTATTCAGATTATTTGCCTTCAAGTATAATTTGAATATGATTCATAGTACTAAAAAAATTCATCACCAGCATAACTTTTATGATATTATTTTTCCCCAAATATAAAATATCGTAAAATTATTTGGACTATAAAATATAATACAATTAGATCTTGAATAACATACTTTTTTAAAGCACAAGAGACATAAGGGAAAACTCCTAGGACCGGAAAAAGAAAAGGAAAAGAATAACAATGGGATAGATAAGTGATCTAAAATTAGATAGGGAAAGATGCTAGAGGCAAATGATAATATTAGCACATGGATCTAGAGCCCACCAGTAAGTCTTAGATCCCCCCCCCCCCAAACTGAGAGAATCAAAAGAGAGACTCTTATATTAAACCAAGTTATCTCAAGTGGGCCAGGTCAGTAGGGTCTCCTAGCTACTATCGTAAGGAAATACAACTCTTCTCTGGAGGAAGGCATATCCCAGTTAGACTCTTAAGGTTTCCTCAGTGTGTTAAGTAAAAATTACCAATAAAGAAACGAGACAATATGGATGAAAAGTTAAAAAAGTAAGAAATCCTAGATCTAGATCATGAGGACTGTAGATAATGATGATACCAAATATAAAGTATAAAATATATGTGAAATATTTAAATAAAAGAGTTAAAGGGCTTCTCTGGTGTTACAGTAGTTGAGAGTAGCCCACCTCATGATGTAGGGGGCATTGGTTCTGTCCCACACACCTCAGAGCAAGTAGGCGCCTGTGCCACAACTGCCGAGCCTGCACACAACTGCTGAACTTGCTCACCTTAGAGCCGGCGCTCTGCAACAGAAGCCACTGCAATGAGAAGCCTGCACACTGCAACTAGAGAGTAGCCCCTGCTTGCTGCAGCTAGAGAAAGCCCACACACAGCAGTGAAGATCTAGCACAGTCAAAAATAACTTAAAAATTATAAGGAAACTAAGATAGAGTTAGAACATCATTAACCCTAAGAAACTATCAAAATGATAACTGATAATTGCAAAAACATTTTAAAAGAATTTTAAAATAAAGTTTAGTTTATACAGTGATTAAAATTTAAAAGTAAACAAAGCTTTCATCTTTGTTATTAAAAAAGTAAGCATTTAAAATTTAAATAAGACATGATTGAATAACTATTTAATAACTCAAAACTTAGATCTAAGTTATACAAAATCTTGGAGAGAAAAATGACACCTAAAGCATCAGAGAGAAATTAAACAGATATTGATAATAGGCTAAAGGTCTAATGTACACCTAATCATTTCCAAAAGGGCAGAATGCAAAGATTGGAAAAGAGGTGCTATTCAAAGACAGAAAGGATTTCCCCAAACTGTTGAAAAACACCATTCCACAGAAATAGGAATAAATTAAAAAAAAAAAAAGAAATCCACACACACCAATGGATACATTGTACTCATACTCCAAAATAGCAAATATTAAAAGAAGAATTGTTTATTTTTTTGGCTATTCTGGGTCTTTGCTGCCGCACATGGGCCTCTCTTGTGGCATAGGGGCTCCAGAGCAGGTGGACTCAGTAGTTGCACTGTGCAGGCTTCACCAGTTACAGCACATCATCGCCCTGTAGCAAGTGGGATCTTATTTTCCTGACCAGAGATTGAACCATGTCCGCTGCTTTGAAAGGTGGATTCTTAGCCACTGGACCACTAAGATAATCCCTAAAAGATTTTAAAGCAGAAGAAAACAGTAAAGAACATATCATTTACAGAGAAACCAATAGCGTTATTAGAGATAGAGTCACTTCATAATGATAAGGGAGGTATAATAATTCTAAACATGAAACTTCTAATAAAATAACCTCTTAATATATGAGAAAAAAATTGGAAACTTGGTAAGTATTAAAATAGGAGATATAAACATGCCTCTCTTAATTATTGATAAGTCAATCAGATAAAAAATTAGTATAGTTACAGAAAATTTGAACCAAAACCATAGTTTAATGGTAATATATAGAACTCTGAATTCAACAGTTAGAGGACACACACTCTTTTCAAGCACACATGGAATGTTATACAACTCACCCATGTACAAGGCCATGAAGCAAGTTTTCAAAAATTTCAAAAAAGTGATATCTGACAAATTAAATTCTCTGACCACAGTGGGATGAAGTTAAAAATTAATAGCATAAATCTCAACTAAAACATAGAGACATATTCACATACACTTTTGAAAGTTAAAAAGTGCATTTTGTAAATTCCTCATGAACCAAAGGAGAAATCATAAAGGAAATCAAAGAAATACTCAGAATTAAATAATTATGAAAATAATACATAGTACAGGGCTTCCCAGGCCATGCTGGTGGAAAAGAATCCACCTGCCAATGCAAGAGATGCAAGAGACCTGGATTTGATCCCTGGGTGAGGAAGAACCCCAGAGAAAGAAATGGCAGTCCATTCCAGCATTCTTGCCTGCAGAATCCCATGGACAGAGGAGCCTGGTAGGCAACAGTCCATGGGGTTGCAAAGAGTTGGGCACGACTGAGCAAAAACACACACACACATGCAATACATAATATGGAATGACACAAAAGTAGTACTTTGAGAGAAATTTGTGGTTTCTTTGAGTGTCTGTATCAAAGTTCATAAAACCTATGTGGAAATAGTGCAAGGCCTATTGTACTATTGGTGGGTACTCAAAGTTGTAGGGATGTTGGGGAGTATAGTGTAAAAGAGTCCTTTGGAGGTAGTTTAATGCAATCTTTTCCTAAGATTTTTGATTGTTCACTTTTTAGTGCAATCTACATTAAATAATGTAATTTTGAGAAAAAGTATAATATAAAAAGATATGTGTGGTAAAAATTAATTTTTATTAGTACATTGAATATATATTATTTTTTTATAGCCAGAGAAACAAGAACTATGAGACTCTTTGTCGAAATAGATTGGGCAATGACTTATACGTAGAAAGGATGATGCAGACTATTAATGGAGCACCAAAGAATAAAGACGTTCAATGTGACAAAATCTTGAAAGAAGAAAAAGGTAATTTATGTTATATTCTGCTTGGTAAATTACCATATTTTAATATACATCTGTTGGGTCTGTTGATTAACAACTATTATAATGAAGTATATAAGGCAAAATGAAATGATTTGGCCAAATCACAATAGCTGGGTACTGTGATCTACAGCTTTCAAAATCTGACAATTTAGTTAATAAGTAATAAATACAGATTCAGAAGATTGGAATAGCATAATTATAAATCTTGATTTTTATACAAACTATATCATTGAACTTTATACTCTTCACATATTAAGGGAAGGTTGTGGCATCTTTATTTTCTCTTGTCCCACTCCCCTCCCGGATGCAGTGGTGGTCTTAAAGACCGAAGCCTGCCTTCCTAGTGTGAGACCCTGGCTCTTGGTTCTAGAAGGAACAGAGCAGACCTTTTTCTCAAAGAACTTGGCTTGTATGTTTTAACGTGTCTAGGAGCTTCCTGGAATATTGACTCAAGGCATTAGTCTTTTCTTGCCTAATTCAGAAAGAATACATTACATTTACCACTATTAGAAAGTAACTCAAAGACATAGAAAGAAATAAAGAACACTGATAAAGGTAGCTACAAAAGTAAATACAAAAGCCGTAATTTTGATTTGTAACTCCTGTATTTTTGCAATGTGATTTAAAATAAATGCATTAAATAATAATTCTAAATCTATGCTAAAGTGAAAAGTGAAAGTGAAGTCGTTCAGTCATGTCCGACTCTTTGCAACCCCGTGGACTGTAGCCCACCAGGCTCCTCCATCCATGGGATTCTCCAGGCAAGAATACTGGAGTGGGTTGCCGTTTCCTTCTCCCCGGGATCTTCCCGACCCAGGGGTGGAACCCAGGTCTTCCGCGTTGCAGGCAGACGCTTTAACCTCTGAGCCACCAGGGAAGCCCAAATCTATGCTACCGGGCATACAAAGTTTAAAGATATAATTTATGGCATCAACTTAAAGTGGGTGGGATTTAGCTGTATAGAAGCAGTTTACATAATGGAAGTAAGGTAGTATTATTTTTAAATAGATTGTTAAAATTTTAAGAAATTAATTTTAATCCCCAAGGCAGTCACCAAGAAATAACTTTAAAATTGCAGAAAAGAAAACTAGGAATAAGAATGGTACACTATAATAAATATCAAATATAAAAGAAGACAGTTATGGAGGATTTGAAGAATAAAGTGTATGACATAAAGAAGACAAATTAGAAGCATCAGAAGTCCTTCCTAAACAATAATTACTTTAAATAAATGGATTAAAGACTCCAGTTAAAGAGTAAAAGTTGGCAGGATGGATTTAAAAAGACGGCAAACATCAAAAAAACTGGAAGAAAAAACCATGATCCATCTATGTGTTTTCTAACAAGAGACTGTTTTTTCCAGTTTTATTGAGAAATAATTGACGTGCATCAATGTATAAGTACAGCATGATGGTTTGATTTACATGTATTGTGAAATGATTACCACAACAGGTTTATTTAACATATAAACATTTTAAATAAAAAGTTTATTTAAACATTTAACATGTTTATTAACATGGATGTTCAATAAACATATAGTTACCTTAAAAAAAACAAGTCGCACAATGTAAAATTAACACACAAAATTCACAAACAGACAAAAATTTTTTTAACACACAAAATTTCTACCTACTACCTATGAGCAATCCAAAAAGGCAATTAAGACAGTAATTGTGTTTCTAATAGCATCCAAAATAATAAAATATGTCAGAATAAATTTAATTCAGGAGATGAAAAATTTGTACACTGATAACTATAAAACATTATATAACATTATATATTTTATATATATATACATACATATATATATATATATATGCAGCAACAGAAAAAAACCATCCTAAAATTTATGCGGAATATCAAGGTATTCCCAAGTAGCAAAAACAGTTTTGAAAAAGAACAGAGTTAGAGACCTCATACTTCCTGGTTTAAAAATTTGCTATCAAGTTATGATCAAAATAGGTTGTACCAGCATATAAATAGATATATAAACCAGAAGAATAGAATAGGGATCCCAGAAATAAACCCTCAGATATATATTATATATAACATTACATATAACATTATACATATATATATATATAACATTATATAACTATAAAACATTGCTGAAAAATTTAAAAGATACCTAAGTAAATGGGAATTGGAGAAGGAAATGGCAGCCCATTCCAGTATTCTTGTCTGGAGAATCCCAGGGATGGAGGAGCCTGGTGGGCTGCCGTCTATGGGGTTGCACGGAGTCAGACACAACTGAAGCGACTTAGCAGCAGCAGCAGCAGCAAATAAATGGGAATACATTCTGTGTTTATGAATTGACTTAATGTTATTAAGATATGACTACCACCCAGAATAATGCCAAAGACTTTGAAATTTTTTCTTTTATTTTCACTTCTTGGTCATGCTGTAAGCCAGGTGGGATCTTAGTTCCCTGACCAGGGACGAACCTGCATCCCCTGTGGTGTGCACCCCCTGCAGAGTCTTAACCACTGGACTTCCAGGGAAGTACCCCCAAAACTTTCCTGCAACAACAGAAAAAAAACCATCCTAAAATTTATGCGGAATATCAAGGGATCCCCAAGTAGAAAAAACAACTTGAAAGAGAACAGAGTTAGAGACCTGATACTTCCTAGTTTAAAAACTTGCTATCAAGTTATGATCAAAATAGGTTGTACCAGCATATAGATAGATATATAAACCAGAAGAATAGAATAGGGACCCCAGAAATAAGCCCTCAGATATATAGTTAAGTGGTTTTTGATGAAGGTGCCAAGACCATCAGCTGGTGCTGGGGCATCTGGATAGCCACATGTGAAAGAATAAAGTTGGATTCAGACCTCATATCACATGCAAAAATTAACTCAAAAATGTTCAGTTAAGTTTAGTCATTCAGTTATGTCCAAATCTTTGTGACCCCATGGACTGCAGCACACCAGGCATCCCTGTCCATCACTAACTCCTGGAACTTATTCAAACTCATGTCCATCGAGTTGGTGATGCCATCCAGCCATCTCATCCTCTGTCGTCCCCTTCTCTTCCCACCTTCAATCTTTCCCAGCATCAGGGTCTTTTCAAATGACTCAGTTCTTCCCATCAGGTAGCCAAAGTATTGGAGTTTCAGCTTTAACATCAGTCCTTCCAATGACCACTCAGGACTGATTACCTTTAGGATGGACTGGTTGGATCTCCTTGCAGTCCAGGGGACTCTCAAGAGTATTCTCCAACACCACAGTTCAAAAGCATCAATTCTTCGGCACTCAGCTTTCTTTATAATCCAACTCTCATATCCATACATGACTACTGGAAAGACCATAGCCTTGACTAGACGGGCCTTTGTTGACAAAGTAATGTCTCTGCTTTTTAATATGCTGTCTAGGTGGTCATAACTTTCCTTCCAAGGAGCAAGTGTCTTAATTTCATGGTGCACTTGCCATCTGCAGTGATTTTGGGAGCCCCCCAAAATAAAAAGTCTGCCACTGTTTCCATTGTTTCCCCATCTATTTGCCATGAAGTGATGGGACCAGATGCCATGATCTTAGTTTTCTGAATGTTGAGTTTTAAGCCAACTTTTTCACTCTCCTCTTTCACTTTCATCAAGAGGCTCTGTAGTTCTTCACTTTCTGCCATAAGGGTGGTGTCGTCTGCATATCTGAGGTTATTGATATTTCTCCCAGCAATCTCGATTGCAGATTGTGCTTCATCCAGTCCAGCATTTCTTATGATGTACTCTGTATAAAAGATAAATAAGCAGAGTGACAATATACCCCATTGACATACTCCATTCCCAATTTGGAACCAGTCTGTTGTTCCATGTCCAGTTCTAACTGTTGCTCTTGATCTGCATACAGATTTCTCAGAAGGCAGGTTAGCTAGTCTGGTATTCCCATCTCTTGAAGAATTTTCCATGATTTGTTGTGGTCCTCACAGTCAGAGGTTTTGGCCTAAGTCAATAAAGCAGAAGTAGATGTTTTTCTGTAACTCTCTCTCTTTTTTGATGTTCCAATGGATGTTGGAAATTTGATATCTGGTTCCTCTGCCTTTTCTAAATTCAGCTTGAACATCTGAAAGTTCACAGTTGATGTACTGTTCTAACCTGACTTGGAGAATTTTGAGCATTGCTTTGCCAGCATGTGAGATGAGTGCAATTGTGTGGTAGTTTGAGCGTTCTTTGGCATTGCCTTTCTTTGGGTTTGGAATGAAAGTTGACCTTTTTGAATCCTGTGGCCACTGCTGAGTTTTCCAAATTTGCTGACATATTGAGTGGAGCACTTTCACAGCATCATCTTTTAGGATTTGAAATAGCTCAACTGGAATTCCATCACCTCCACTAGCTTTGTTCATAGTGATGCTTCCTAAGGCCCACTTGACTTCACATTCCAGGATGTCTGGTTCTAGGTGAGTGATCACAGCCTCGTGATTATCTAGGTCATGAAGATCTTTTTTATATAGTTCTTCTGTGTATTCTTGTCACCTCTTCTTAATATCTTCTGCATCTGTTAGGTCCATACTGTTTCTGTTTTTTATTGTGTCCATCTTTGCCTGAAATATTCCTTTGGTATCTCTAATTTTCTTGAAGAGATCTCTAGTCTTTCCCATTCTATTGTTTTCCTCTATTCTTTGCACTAATCAGTGAGAAAGGCTTTCTTATCTCTCCTTGCTATTCTTTGAAACTCTGCATTCAAATGAGTATATCTTTTCTTTTTTCCTTTGCCTTTCACTTCTTTTCTTTTGACAGCTATTTGTAAGTCCTCTTGAGACAACCATTTTGCCTTTTTGCATTTCTTTTTCTTGGGGATGGTCTTGATTCCTGACTCCTGTACAGTGTCATGAATCTCCATCCATAGTTCTTCAGGCATGCTATCAGATCTAATCCCTTGAATCTATTTGTCACTGCCACTGTATAATTAAGGGATTTGATTTAGGTCATACCTGAACAGCCTAGTGGTTTTCCCTACTTTGTTCAATTTAAGTCTGAATTTGGCAAT